CCTACATGTCTGGCTGGGACAGGGAGAGCCACTGCCCATCCCAGCAGCGTGGCCTCGGTGCCAGGCTGCATTGCAACCCCGATGGAGCAAACCGAGCCGTGCATGGGGCCAGGCTGCATTTAAGCCCCGATGGAGCACACCGAGCCGTGCGTGGGGCCAGGCTGCCCCAGGGTTCCCAGGGAAAGAACACGGCACAGGGGCTGCGGGGATGGCGTAGCGAGGCAGCCAGGGCAGGACGCCTGGCTCTCAGCCGAGTCTCTGTGTGGTCCCAGAGAAGTCAATGACCCCAGGTTTGCTCACATGGAAAGGGGGTGTAACAAGCCCTCCCTGCTATGAAGGGTGTGCCAGCTTTCATTAAGGGCTCAGGCACCGTCCCAAGATTGCCAGATACAGTACGAAGCCAGATGAGATCATGCTCTGCATCAATCTTCCCAGGCGACGTTTGCAGGGCCGGGTTCGTAGCAGCGTGTTTGGGAGAGGAAGGGCTGCTGGAGCCAACCTGTGCCGCCCACGTACCACTGCTGACACCACCAGCGCAGCGCAAGACATCTCTGCAATTAAGTGGGTTGCAAATGAGATGCAGACCGTGGTCTGGAGCTAAATTTTACCCTGGCACAGCGAGGCAAGAGGCAGCAAGTCACTGCAGGCCCTCTGCAGCAAGGGCTGCCCGGCACACGGATGCTTTCAGCAGAAGCCAGATCAGCCCAGGGGCTGCTCTCGCAGCTTACGGTCCCTGGGAGCTGGAGCTTTTGGGAGACCCCCAGCCCTGGGGAGTCTCACTTCAGGGATATATTTGGGATGGCCAGGCAATGGGGCACAGAGAGCAGCACAATTTACCCTGCAGCCTTTTGGGGTACAGCCTTGCCACATTGCTTAGCACAAACCCCACAGAGAGACCGACGTCCCCACGACATCTCTCCCACCAGTCGGAGCGCCTGCTGCTCCCAGCCATGCCCTTGATGGAGACACAAGCACAGGAGTGTTTTCTCATGGGCTGGAGCTATCCCAGTGGCCAAGTGCTCAGGGTTTAAGGCTTTATGTTGGCGGGTCCCTATCTCTGTATGAACAGTCTTGGAAGAGCATCACTCTGCCGCGGGGACAGTGCATGTCCAGATGCAGAGAGGACCCCAGGACCAGGGATTCTGGGGGGTAGCCAGGCATGGAGGTACGGAAGCCTCCGCACCAGGCAGGAAGCGCTTGCGGAGGAGGATGGGAGGGCAACGCATGGCAATGGCACCTACAACCGCCGTACTCCTCCCTCTACCACTGCCGCCCCGATTAGCACACGTCTTCCCGGGGAATGAGGGGAATTAGGAGGAAAATTGCTCTGAATCACTCTGAGCCAGTCTCTTCTGCCGGCTACACCCTCCGAGCCTGCTGCCACCACGGTGCCATCCTGCGGCAGCACGTCCCCATCCACAGCAGCGTCAGGCTGGCTTTGCTGGGCTCTGGGCGCAGGTTTGCCCATGACGGCGGGTCGGCTCCTGGCCACAGGCCTCACCGGCACCCCAGGACCGACCAGTTTTACCCCACTGTGGCTCATCCCTATCGGTGTGTCTAGACTGATAATGAATGCGACGCACATGCTGCATCAAAGTCCCCAATTGCCACAGCGCTGGGCATTGCACAACCCTTTCTGTGTCAGCCACTGGGCTGCTGACCCCGCATGGAGGGATCTGGGGGGGGTGAAGGGGGTCTGCAGCAGGTGGAGGAGGTCAACAGTGGGTGGAGGGGGTCCATGATGAGCAGGGGGACCAGGTAAGATGGGAATACTGGGGCTGGGCTGGGTCCCAGCTGGGAGGCACAGCTCAGCCCCAGCTGGATCACATCCCCTCATTGCAGAGTCATGCATAAAGCCCAGCCCTGGAGGTTTTAGCCCTTTTTCTCTAGCCTGGGAGATTTGGGAGGGAGTCAGCAGTGTGAGGAGCTGGCAGGGCCACCCCAAGGCTCTTTTGATGGGGCAGGACAGGGTGGCAGTTAAGGGAGATACAGTCCTTAGTCAGGAGCCAGGCTGGGACCCTCAGCAGGGTGTGAATGCAGCTGGTGGCACTGGGGCAAAGACCAGCAACAAGGATGTGGGGTACAACCCCTGCAAGCAGGGAAAGGAGAGGATGATTTAGCATTTATCTGCATCCACCATTTGCCTGCTCCTTTGAGCTGTACCCTGGAGGAACTGCGGTGCTTCTTGCTTCTGCTGCCCATAGGACACAGGGAAGAACAGCTGATGTGGTAGTGTTGAGGAAGAAAGGAGCCCTTACCAGCAAAACTGTGTGGTGGCTTCAGCAGGGGGGCTATGAGAGAGGAGGTTTGGGTGTTTGCAAATCGGTGCGCATCCTGACGCTGCTAGCTCAGTCCAAAAATTAAGTGTTTGTTTCCAGCACACAAATCAGAATAACCCTGCTTATTGCAGATGACACTGGTGGTGTAGAAATAGAGGATGTGATGAACAGGGGGTCACAGGACAGGGGTCTGGCTGTGATTGATGGGCCAGGGTGCAATCCTGGGGAGCAGGGCAGGACTGTGGGGTTTCCCAGGCTGCTCTGGGGCTGGTGGCCACCCCAGCAGTCTCGGTGGCACATGCCACCAGGTGGCAGCAGGAACCTGTCACAGACTGCCCGGTCCTCAGCTTGCGAAGGTCGAATGCTCGAGCGTTGGACCAGGCTGCCCAGAGAGGTGGTGGAGTCCCCATCCCTGGAGAGGTTCAAAACACGGGCAGAGGCGGCACTTTGGGACATAGTTTAGTGGGCACGGGGGTTTTGGGTTGATGATTGGAATGATTATCTTAGAGCTCCTTTCCAACCTTAATGATTCCTAGTTTTTCCTTTAATTATAAATGATCCAGCCACCAGTCCAGGAAGCATGGGGTTGCTACTCTACCCTTAATTGGTTTAGTGGTGGACTTGGTAATGTTAGGTTAATGGTTGGACTGGATGATCTTAAAGGTCTTTTACAACCTAAATGATTCTATGATTCTATGAATCCTGCCTTGTAAGCTGGGGGTGAAGGTAGGTGGGGCTGGGGGCTGCACATCTCCTGCTTCATGCTGCTGGAGAACTGCTCTTGGAGCAGCAAGGCTGGAGGAGCCCAAGTGCCAGCCCCAAACAGGCAGCGTGGCCATGGGCAGCAAAGCACCTTGTCCACCAGCCTGACCGAGCATCCCTCTGCAGCATAGGGTCCAGCACAGTTGGGGTGTATCCAACACCTTCCTTGCATTGCTTTGGTGTCTCCTCTGTTTGGGAGCTGCGAGCTCTGTCGGGGTGAAAGGATGCCTATGGATTTGGGGACTGCTCTGCTATTAAGGGAGGACCCGGCGATTGCTTCTGCTTGCTCTCAGACCTGTGTTGGTGTCCTGGTCCTGCTGTGCTCAGGGTGTGTGGTGGCTTGTTCTTTGCCACCTTGGTGTGATGGTCCAAGAGCCTTGGCGGGTGACACAACAGGAGTCGCGCAGTCCAGGTTACAGGGGAGTGTAAAGTCCCACTGTGTTGGCAAATATCCTGTTGCATGAGCATCGTGAGCTTTGAGGCTGGTTCCTTCCTGGATCCTTGGGGGAAGGTTCCAGGATGATTTGTGGGTGCCCCCAGCACCCAGATTTGTGTGCTTGGCCCCTGCACAGGGAGACCCCTCTGCTGCAGAGAACAGAAGGGCTGACCACACACCAGCAGGGTGCTGAGCTCCTGAAAAGCTGCTCTGCTGCACATGGGCACCAAACCACCCTTGTCTCAAAAGCTGGGCACCCCCTTATGGGGCAGCCCTAGGGACAGCTTGGCTCTTGACGGTGATGTTGTTCTACCCTGGCAGGGTGGTGGCAATGAACCAGCTCCACTCTCTCCCCTGGGTGTGGAGCTCATACCTGCTCCAGAGACCCTAAAGTGCTGTAGGATTGGGTGCATGACCCATGTTGGGGTGCAGGATTGAGCCTTGGGTGCAGGATCTGACTCCAGTGGGGACCTCCCAGCCTGGGCAGGCTCAGGCAGAGCTGAGTGACTCTGGCCCCTGCAGCAGATTTTACCTTGTAAGAAGGTGTTTAACACTTCAGATGTCAAAATTGCCTCCAAAGGAAGCTGAAGCAACCTGGCCAGCAGTGGTGAAGCAAACTTGTGGCAGTCTTGTGTTAACCAGGGTGCTTGCTTCAGTGCTGCTGGTTTGGGGAAGCTTGTGGCAGGTTCCTTCACAGAGCAGGGTGATTTCAGGGCTTTGACTCACCCTTAGGAAATCACAACTGTTCCTTTTTCCCCTGTAAAAGGCATTTGCAAATCAGTAGCCAGGCTCTAAGCATGCACAGTGGGAGGCTGCTCAGCAGCATGGTAGGCATTTCCAGCCGCCCACTCTGGAAAGCAGCTATTAATAAGGGACACCTCCATGGGGCCAACTCAGGCTGCTCTGAGTGAGGAGCTGGGGTTGTTCTCAGTTCTTGTCCACACAAAACCCAGCAGTCAGACCTTGCTGCTGGCTGTAGTACTAAAACTAAATGCATCCACCTTCCAGCCCCATGCCAGGGCCCTGCAGCACAGAAGTGCCCTAAAAAGGGTGCTCCTCCATAAAAGTGTGCTTATCTGTCCCCTTCCTTCTTTCTAGCTCCTGCCTGCCACCACAGCTCAGTCCTAGGAGACATGCAGAGTGTTTTCAGGCCAAAACAGGCTTTTTTTCTAGTTGGAAATGCAAAGACCTGCCAAGTTATCATGTAAGGAGTATTGTGAGCACCCACTGCAATGAACCCTGCTCTCCCCAGGCATCCACCTTGCCCCTGGGAACCTGCAGCCTGTCTCCAAGGTGGATTAAAGCCATGCTGGGAGACAGTAAGGTGCAGGACTTGCCTCAAGGAAAACCCACGTAGACGCACAGAAGAGTTTTGACAGCCTCAGGGCAAATCTTTATTTGGCAGCAAAACCATCAAACTTGAAGGAAGGAAAGGAGGGAGGTGGGCAGAGAGGGATGGAGGGGAGAAAGCCAGGGGCTGCAAGCACTGCATGGGTGCCTTTGGCCAGGCACCACAGTCTGCCTCAGTGGTGATGCTTGTGGTGCTCCTGCTGTTGTTGCTGCTGTTGCTTCTGGCCATGGCCCTCAACATCATGGAGGTGTTCGTGGGTGGCAATGGTCACACGGGTGATCAGCAACATCACCTCGCAGAAGCTGAGCTGCTCATCCTTGTTTATATCGAGGTCCTTCATGATTTCGTCAATGGTGGCCTTGTTTTTCACATGCTGCAAAGGAAGGGACAGGGTGAGGGCAAAGTCATGTCATTCACATGACTCGGTCTTCCCCCGGCCTTGCTGGGACCCTCACAGGTGCCAGGTCCCCAGTAGTCTAACGCTGTTTGTGGCTCCGTCCTTATGCTATCATCACCCATTGCTTTGAGTACAGCAACAATTCACCCATGACAATGAAGCAACTGGTGAGCAACAGGCTAGCATCATTGCCAGGACACAGTGCAGCGTGGAGACCAATGAAGGCAGCAGTGTTATGTCAGCCACAAACTTATCCTTCAGTGTGTTGGATTAAAAACACTTTACCTTCTGCTTTAGCAGTTACCAAAAAAAAAATAATTGGCTTTTTGGCTGATATTTGACATCATTGCTCCTAGATGGCAGAGGAGCTCTAGGGCATTATGATCCTGATTTTTGCAGATAAGGTAATGCGAGTAAATATCTGGCTGCAGGTTCACCCAGCCCTGCGTGGGCTTCCTTCATTTGTCTTTATGGAGCATGTTTGGAAAATGGCAGTTGGACAGGGAGGGTCTCAGCAGAAGGTGTTGGGGCAGGAGAGTAGAGTGGGAAGGGAGTAAATCCAGTCCCTGGGGGTATTCAGGCAATGGGGTCCAGGCCAGCTCCCTCCCCACGTAGGTCATGAGAAACTCCACTCACCTGCAGGTAGTTTCTAAGCTGCTCCTCAATCAGGAGCTTCAGCTCCCTCTTGGTCAGGGTGTCTTTGTCCCCCTCCCGCCTTGAGTAGTGGTGGAAGACGTCAATGATCTCATTCATGGCCTTCTCCAGGTCGGAAAACAAGAGCAGGGCAGTGGTGGTCTGGAAGAGAAATGATTACACTGAATAATCTCAGGAGCCACAATAGATGGGGAAGACTGATGTAAACCAGAGAGGCTCCAGTACAGCCACCTGCTTCGCACCAGATGAGGACACAGCCTGGCTTTGTTCAGTCATTCTTTTTGGGGGGATAAGTTTGAGCTGTTTGTTTTGAGCTTGCTCTTATCTACAAGCCAAAGGAGACTGAAGGGAGTTGAAGCCTTTGCCTGCTTTTGCTCTGGGATGTGCAACTACAGACAATAGCTGAGAGCTGATTTTTCCCCCAAAATGTGCCTTCTGTAAGTCAAGCGCTGTTGAAGCAAGGTTCCTGAAATACTGGCAGCACTGCAAAAACCTCTGTAGAGGTACAGAATATGAGATCTGATGTCCAGGAGCCCCTTCAGTGCTGAGAAGCCTCTTCCAGGAGAAGACATCTCTCCGTGTGGGTTTGTGCTTGGATGAGCCTGAGCGGAGGTGGTTATCCTCTGCCAGCGACTGATGGCAGCTCACACGGTGAGGAGAGGCTCCCCAAGGGTCCTTGCACCTCCAATGGCCCAGCTGGCACCTGGAAAAGAGCATGGAGACCTTAAATACCCGACTCAACATTGGACTTGCCTTGCTCATCTTGACGAAGTAGTGAGATCCACTTGGGCTGGAGTGGGGCTGATCCCAAGCGTGGCATCTCTTATAGCCTGACCATCTGCCTGCGCCACTCCACCAGTTGTGAAATGTCTCTGTTTCATCCAATTCCATCCAATGACATACTTGTGCATTGCTTAAGGCTCTGGGGTAGTTCCTTAAAAGGGGTCTCTGTGGCTTTTCCTGCAAGGTTGGTGTGTCATGTACTCTAGCTGGGTAGCAGGGAGGTGGCCAGGACATGGCCATGTCCCCTTCACCCCTCCACCTGGCTATTGGGGCTGCAATTCTCCATCAAATCTCAACAGAAGTCTATTTGCCTCAGCTGCTTCAATTTCACCTGGTTTACTCCCCTCTGTAGGGGTGTCTTTTCATGCCATGAGGCAAAGGGGACCCACAGCATCATCCCTGCACTTCTCCAGTGAGCCAGCACTGCTTGGTCCCGTAGCATCCCCATCCTCGCAGACCTGGTGCACACGAGCACCGTGTGGCCCTGCGTGCCCAAAAGCATCTGTCCTGGTTTCAGCTGGGATAGAGTTAATTT